TCTAAAATTGTTGTTGCCGAAGGACTTTTAGCTATGATTTCTTTAATGCTTGGTGAATCGTGGCCGTTATATGGCATCGAACTCCTACATTTCTGCAAATATATTTCAATGGACAAAAAATCTGTAGCCATAAGGCGCCATACTATTATTTACTTTATCATAAACAATTGTTTAGGGCTTTTCAGTTTATGATCATTGATCATTCAATCATTGGACAGTTATACTACATATTGTTTTTAAGATTTGAGAAAACTAACATTGATTACATGAGAAGCTGTTTACTATAACCTGTGATTTTGAGTCTTATGATCCATGAAGCTTTTTATTTTGACAATTTGACTGGAATGGTATTAAACCTGAGTATTTCACATACATGAAATGTTGTCCCATGTCACATATTGTCCCCTTTTCTAACTGAACACCTCATGTAGAGATGTAAAGGTGTGTTAATCTACGGCTCATACCAGATTGTTTGCCATAAATTCCAAAGGGCTATTGATGTATGAAAGCATTTTCTATAAAGTAAAAATGCCTTCCTATGTATGCAGATAAACCTTGAAATTTGGCAAAACAGCAAAGTATTTTTCATGATCACTAGGTAATTTTTCTGATGATCATTATAATTTCTAAACTAAATTATTTTAGATTTACATTTAAACAAGCTTTGATCATATGAAAAGATATTTATCATAACCAGTAAGCATTACACATAAACCATTTTTAACATTCGTGTAATTATATAATTAAAGACATGTTGGTTACATTCTGTTTGTATTTGATAATACAATGCTACTAGTGATTGCTATATAGCACACCTTGCAGAAGATAATAGTCTAGTGAAATGCCTAATAAACATTTATGGCATTAAGCTAACCTTAACTGCAAATTTTCACTCTGATAATTTTTGCTTAATCTTTGGCAGAAAAAAATTTTGAGTTTTTCTCAAAGGGTGAATTTGCTGGCACTGATGTGGAGATGGGTAAAGAGTTACAATAAACTTGCATGGTTTGAAGTCTGAGCTTTTCTATATCTATGAACTGTCACTTGTAGTACCAAATTTCTAACTTAACGTATTACATAGAGGTTTGAATGGGCGTCTCTAGGGACATGCTAATGAGCCATATATTTGGCATGATAATGAGCCTAAATATTTGGCAAAACATTCAAGTATTGTTCACTTTTTTTTTTGAAAAGAAAACGTAAGAAAAATGTGTTGTTTTTACGCAAAAACGATGCCTACAAAATACATTTTGTATTGCTCTAAAACGCTGAAAATGGCATTTTCAAGACTCTGAAATTCAAAATTTCTCAGGGGAGAATGCCTCAGACCCCCCCCGGCACGGAGCGCCTCTGACGTTTTATGACATATGTTTGAAAAATCCTAGATCCGCCCCTGCCAAAAAGAAAAGCTTTTCTCACATCTAACAACCTTGAGTTTCCTGCCCCTGGTGAAACAAGATGGTATTATCGGTCTAGATTAATCAATGTATCGCACAAAAACTATGAAAAACTTTTAGATATTTTTGAGGGGGTACTTGAACAACCAGCTGGGTGGGATGATGAGTCATTAAGTAAAATAAGTGGCTTAATGCATTATCTTGATAGCTTTCTCTTTTGTTTTCTAGTGTGTGTTTTTTACTGGATTTTAGAACAGTCCACAATTTTGTATTCCATTCTTCAAAATAGGGAAACCCATTTTAACTATGGCATAAGCAAGATTGACAATTTCAAGCAGTTTATTGTGTCACTTCGCACCGATCAAGCTTTCACAGAACTGCACTAGAAAAAGTAGGCCCACCAAGATCAAGCTTTTACCAAACTGCACTAGAAAAAATAGGCCCACCAGCAACCAGAGCAGATAGTAGATACAATTACAAACAGCTTTATTTTAATATTATTGATTCCATTAAAGGCATGTTAAGTGAACGATTTCAAGATATTAATCAGTTCGAAATTTTAGACCTTGTAAATCCTAAACTATTTACTACATGGAAGGGCATAGTTCCACAGGAGAAGATCAATCTTATCAAAGATAAGTATAGTCCTCTTTTTGACATCCAAACTTTGGAGAGTCAACTTTCCTTCATTTACAACGACAAGGACTTTCACAAAGAGTGCAGTAATGAGGTTCTTAAATACATCTTCAAATTTAATCTCCAGTCGAGTTTAGGTCAAGTGGTAAATTTGTTAAAATTGAATGGTGTGTTGGCAGTGGCAAGTGCTTCAGTAGAGAGGTCGTTTTCTTGCTTAAAAAGGGTAAAAAGCTATTTAAGAAATAGAATGGGTCAAGGTCGGCTTAGCTCTTTGTGTAGAATATCTATTCACAACGATATCATTGAAAAGAAAGAGGAATCAGAGGTGTTGCATAACGAGGTGGTTGAAAAATTTGTAGAAAAACCCAGGAGGCTGGCCTTTCTTTATAAATGATGAGTATAGTATGTGTTTTGATATTTGTTCGTATAATACATGGTACTTCATTAAGAAAATTAAGCATAACTTTAAAAAATAAAGCCATCCCTGTCTACTTGCCCCAATCTAAACAAGTTTAAACTAACAAGTAGAATGCTAAGAAAAATCTCTCTCTATGCACTTTAGAAGTATCGTATACTATATTATTTTTTGTGCTAATACAAATTTCTTCTGTTTATGCAGGGGCAGTGATGAGTAAATTATGTTTTAGGGGACAATTGTCTCCTGCGTAACGTTTCTCTGAGCCACCTATAGTACCTTTTTAACTAGTTGCAGTTTCAACGATTGCCACATTAAAAATGCAGCTAACAAAAACGGGTTTTTATAAATTATTGTACAACAAATAATTCGCCCTCGAAATCGCAGGAAATGCTGTTTCCAAGGCTCTGGATTTCAAAATTTTCCGGGGGAGCATGCCCCTGGACCCCCCTAGTGGGGTCGCGCCTCTGGCGCGAGATGGATTGGCGGGAGTGACTATTTTTCCTAGCTACGCCACTACTGACAGCGAAAGGTAATGTTCTGATTTGTAATTCAAAGTAGTAGGTGCTTTACTGGTTATTTTATTATTTTGTGTGCACAATGTGCGTAAACTAGCAGAGGCCGCAGTCTGCAGAAATATCTAAATGCACGCAAACGTGTGTTGTCGTAAAGTATGACTAGCATTATGACCGAAACACTATGCTCTTGTCAGTCTTGTGTCGTTGAATTCGTAAATTAATGACTAAAAATAAAAGGTACAAGATACTAAATAATAAACACGACTCTCCGATATTCTGAAACGTACGAGTCAGTGCCAGACACATTTTGAAGAACGGGAGAACACGTTGCCATGACGTCATTATACCAAAATATAAACATTAAACAACGCCATGGCCTCAGCTTGTAACACACTGTGTCAATTTTGTGCGCGAAACTGTTCTTAATTGTTATAATCACGGCTGCTACAATACGGCTGCTCATTTGGACTGAGACCTTTTTCCGAGAAACAAGAGATCGTCGAAGGTGGCCGTCCCACTCCTGAGTTGCAAAGACTACATACAACATCCAAGCGAAGTGGTAAAGTCTTTATTCGAAGTTTTCAGACGTAAAATTAAGACAAGTACAAATGGCTGGCTGGCTCCTCAAAATTGAATAAGTTATTTTGCTGGCCGTGTCTTTTGTTCAACTCAACAGACAAGACAGTCTGGTGCAAGAAGGGATACGATGATTTGGCCAACCTGTGTAATGCCGTCAACAGACACGAGAAAACGAAGACACACTTGTCCAGTTGCCTAATGAATGCCAGTTTTGGGCGTACACGCATCGACATGCAGCTAGACGAACAGGCCCGTCAACACATCTCAGCTCACAACTTGATGGTGCACAAGAATAGAGAAGTACTTCGCCGTTTCATCGATGTTGTTTGCTTTCTTGGCAAACAGGAACTTTCTTTCAGAGGTCGGGTGGAGCTGGAGGAGTCTGCCAACAGGGGCAATTACGTCGAATTGATAAAACTGCTAAGTGCATAAAACCCCACACTTGAACAGCATCTTCAAACAGCAACCGTGTTTTCTGGACTTTCTAATCGTATCCAGAACGATTTGATTGTTGCTGTCAAGGACGTTATGTTGAAAGCAATAAAAGATGAAGTGATGAGGAGCCCATTTGTCGCTATTTCCCTGGATGAAACCTCCGACGTTAAGACCTTATCGCAGCTAACAACTATAGTTCACTATGTCAACCCAAATGGTAAAGCTGTGGAGCGCTTTCTTGGATTTACCGATGTAAGTGAGGATAGAACTGCGGCTAGACTGAAACAAGAAGTCGGTAAAACCCTGAACGAGTACGGATGCGGCGAAAAACTGATTGCCCAAACGTATGCAAACACGAGTAAGAGAAGACTATCCACATGCTCTTTTTATCCACTGTTGCGGACACGCATTAAATTTGGTCCTTGTTCAAGCTGTCTCGTCAACTAAAGAGTGTCGTATATTTTTTAAAACCGTCACTGGTCTTTCATCCTTTTTTAACGCCTCGTCCAAGAGAACATACCTGTTGGACACAGTTGTCGGCAGACGCATTCCCACTGGAACAGCTGTTCGATGGCACTATCAGAACAGGTTAATCCATGCTGTACTGGAGACAAGAGCAAAGCTGCTCGAAGTTTTCGAATACATCATCGAAAATGATGACGAGTTTGACGGTACGACGTTAAACGAAGCGAGGGGCTACCGACAAGTTCTTGCAGATTTCCAGTTTGTGTTCTGCCTTAAGCCTGTGACACACGACGTCGTCTCCGAGACTTTTGTTTCCGAGACATGGTCTCCGATACAAAACTTTCAGAAACTTAACATGACAAACGAACTAAATGTTTCTGAAACTTCGCGGAGTCATTTTGTTTGTTTTTGAAATATGGCGGGAGACGACCTGACCGCTGCTACTTGTGCTGCCATTGTTTTATACATAGCAATTAAACAACGACGCAGAAGACAGAAAAAAAGAACTGTTTTGATAAGAGAATGGATGAAAAAAAGACAGCAGTATGGGGCATACCAGCATTTAGTGAAGGAATTGCCCTTGTCAGATTCGAATGGATACAAAAAATTTCTACGAATGGATCCGGAATCGTTTGGTGTCCTAGAAAGCTTGATTACGCCATTAATAACAAAAAAAGATACAAACATGAGACGTTCTATTCCAGCAGGTGAACGTTTGGCAGTAACCCTACGTTTCTTAGCAACAGGTTTGTAATTGCTAACTGATGTATCAGTATCGATGAAAAGTGAGCGTGGGGACATGTGTGGACTTTAGGCTAAGCATGTAATGACGTTGTTTGAATAGAAGAGAGACATTCATTGTGTTTCTCTAGGTGAATCGTACAGCAGCTTACAATTCTTGTACAGGATAGCTAGACAAACTATGGGGCGAATAATCCCAGAAACATGTGATGCTTTATCAAAAGTCCTCAAGGATTACATTAAGGTAATTGTTTCCTCCAAAAAATACATATATTAACATTATCCTCGCTAATTTAATTGGCAATGCAAATACTTGTTGGTTGCAGTAAAGCAGTATTCTAATTGCTTTACATGTAGGTTCCAACAATTGAAGAGGATTGGAGGAAAGTAGAACAAGCCTTTTCAGAGAGATGGAACTTCCCTAACTGCGTGGGTGCTTTGAATGGGAAGCACATATTATTGAAGGCACCCAACAATAGTGGTTCCTTTTATTTTAACTATAAAAACAACTTTAGTATTGTACTTCTAGCATTGGTTGATGCTGACTACAAATTTTTGTATATTGACATTGGTAAAAATGGTAGAGTATCTGATGGTGGAGTGTTCAGAGAATCATCACTAAGCAATGCACTGGAAACAAACAGCCTAAACCTGCCAAGTCCGACATCCTTGCCAGGTGATGTAACTTAAATGCCATATGTAATTGTGGCAGATGATGCTTTTCCACTCAAACCTTATCTGATGAAACCATATGGTCAACGCAGCATGACAATGAAACAACGCATATTCAATTACAGGTTAAGCCGAGCTCGCAGAATAGTAGAAAATGCTTTTGGAAAATTAGCAAATAGGTTTAGGGTATTCATGACACCAATAGCCCTACAACCTGATTCAGTTGAAAAGGTAGTTTTAGCTTGTTGCTCCTTGCACAACTTTTTGCAAGCCAGAAATGAAGGATGGAACATTCACACTCCACAGTTTATGATGGATAGAGAGGATCATTTTACCCATGATGTGATTGAAGGTGAATGGAGAAGTCAACCTATTGCAAGTGCGATGACTTCTTTGGGACAGCAAGGAAGTAACAGATCAACATCTACAGCCCAATCTGTTTGAGAACACATCTGCAACTACTTTAGTTCAGATGCAGGATCAGTTCCTTGGAAAATGAGCAAAATATAAGCAAACATGAGCAAAATATAAACAAACATGAGCAAAATATAAACAAAGCTTGATCTTGGGTTAGTAATATTTGATTATTTAGACCAAAATGGTACAAAGTATTGCATGATATTATAGACAAAAAATGAAAGATTATCAAGCACAACACCCATGTAAATTTACTAAAAAACATGTTTTTTTACCTTCTGTGTCACAAACTTTTGTTATCAACTAGTTTTTGTACAAAATAAAAAGCAAAAAACTATTTATATTTATTTTTGTTCTTGTTCTTGTTCTAAAGAGTTTGGTAGGTCTTTTCAGCCATCTGATCAAATACCAATTGATTAGTCAAAGGCTGATAAGATGTAGGACTAGGACTGTCACTAGTGCCTGATTGTACAGATGAGCATGGGCTGTTACTGTAGTGAGAAATTGAATAGGGTACTGGACTTGTAGTGGAGAAAGTTGTACAAACTGAAGTTGACGGTGCTTCAAACAAAATATTCTGTATTCGTACTTTAGCCAACCTTTTTGCTGAATCATTTTCAATACATTTAATTTCAGATGCAATATACCTTCCAAACAAATCATCAGTACTTTCATCAGCAGAAGAAACATGGACTGAACTCAAGCTTGATTTTTACCCTGATGCAATAATTTCTAGGAGATCTCCAGCTTTTTTCAAAATTCCTCTTTCTTCAATATCTCTTTTTTGTGCTTTTGTAGCTCTTGATTCCTTGTCTGAGACATTAATTGGGCGCTTTGTGGAAGATGTGGTTGAAACATTTTGATCTAGTTCATTGTTATCATCTTTTTGTTCTTGCTCTTCTTCAAGAAAAGTAGAGTTGCTAGTGGTGCTATTTTTGCTTGATCTCTCCTATATAAAAGAGAAAAATAAATTACTTCAAAGTAAACCCTAAACATACATGTTGCATTAGCTCAAACTAAGTTCTCAAGCAAGACAACATACTTTATCAAGATTGAGCGAGATGATCTACATTCCACATGATCTTTTAAAACAAAATCAGTGTCAAATATTGCCATTTGGACTTTGGTGTGACATCATCTGTGGCAGAACCACTTTTGGGTTTGGTGCCTTTGGCAATTTCTTTGCAGAACTGACTTCTAAGGTTTTTGAATTTGCAAGAAACTTCCATTGCTATTAAGCGGAAACAACATGAGACATATTTTTCCGTTCAAACAGGCTGAAAAACTGAATGTAATAAAACAGTGGCTGACTGCTGAAAGCCTGAAACATGTTGAAATAAATTGTCCTTCTGCAATAGTTGGAAAATCGTTTATAACAATAGAAATCAGCCCTATTCTTTATTATCGTCATTTAAATGCACATAAATATTTACTTCATAAGTATTACAACGTAATGGGATTCGGTATACTTATCAATCTGAATTCAGTAAAAAATGCTTACTCACCACTCATTTCTGAAGCATTCGCTATCTCCGCAATTGCATTCCTCATAGCCACTCTATCATGATAGTCAGGGAGCGTTGTATTATACAATACTGGTTTAGCCTCCCACAACTCCGCCAAACGTTAAACTTTATCCCTTGTCCATTCGACCGCCATCTTGTTTTTCTGTCTCATACCACTTGACTTTAATTGTGATATTTAATTGGCTGAAAGTTTTTTGTCTCGGAGACTTGTCTCTGGAATTGGAACACGTTTCTATTTCGGAGACCTAATCTCAAAAAATCTCCGAAACAAAAAGTGTCCGAAACCTAGATGACACATTGCGAAACTTTGTGGCGGAGACCAGGTCTCGGAAAGAAAAGTCTCAGAGACCACGTCGTGTGTCACAGGCTTTAAAATATTTTCAGAAATATTTGGTCCTACGGATGTTTTGTATAATATTATTCAGAGTAAGCAGTTCGATATTGTCTTCTGTGTCACGAAAGTTCGCGAGAAGAAAGTGAAGATTCAAGAACAACGAACAAAATTCGTAGATTATTGGAATTTTACGTCAAGTATCGTCAAAATAGCACTGAAACGCGGGCAAAGTGAAGAGGATGTTAAGGCGTCCTTCCGTCAAATGTTTTTCTGTGTAGTCGATACCATTGTCGTGCAGATTGACTCTAGATTCGAAAGTCTTAACAGCAGAGAATTCGTTTCTTTGTTGGATCATTCAAAGCACGAATTGTACAGCCGGAATTTTCCCGAACGAGAGCTGCAATCGTTGCAAGATTCATATGGAACATTCTTTAATCTTCAAGCACTAAAAAGTGAACTAACCGTTGTATACGCATCTGCCGAGCTCAAATCGAAACCTGTTTTTGATATGATATCAAAAATAATCGAACTTGACTTGAAAGCCTGTTTCCCAGAGGTGTACCGATTGTGTCAGCTCATTCTTACTATGCCAAGTACGTTCTCCTCTGCAAAAAGATCATTTTCGGCTCTCAAGCGTATCAAAACGTATCTTCGCAGTACACAAGGGCAAGAGCGACTTTCTGCATTGGCTACAATTTCAATCGAGAAGGAGATGTTGGTAAGTTTGCAGGGAAAGCCACGATTCTATGACGACGTTATAAATGAGTTTTGCGCAAAGGAAAGACGGATGGAATTTACATTTAAGTAAATCTGTTGAAGGATTTTGGAGTATTTCGTTCTGTTACTTCTTCACTACAATAGAAATGCACGCGTAGCCATTTAGTTAAAACGTCTTTATATCACAATGCCTCATGTAATACTTTTAAACCGTAATTGTGATATATACTCTATAAAGGTTTTTTAATTTTTTAGATTTTTTCAATACTGTTTCGGTCATGACAGATACATTTTTTTCGACAAAGTACTCTCAGAAATCGCGGGAAAAGCGCTCCAGTAGCCTTCAAAACCCAATATTTTCTGGGGAGCATGCCCCAGACCCCCTAGATCGGCAACCCGCGAACCTCACCCCCAGCGCTTGCCTATTAAATTCGGTTACCGCACGCCACTGCTTATGAGACGAATCCATCTCTTGTACTCGTTGTTCAGCATTGTAGCGCTTGCAAAAGCGAAGAACTTGCAAGTGTTGCCCTCCGACGAATGGCCACATGTAGGAGCAAAACAGTAAACCATTTTGCCCGTTTGACCCGGGTCCTTTACACTTCTTCAACGAAAGTTGATCCCTTGGATGACCCTTTAACCTTTCCTGTTTTTTTATTGTCTTTTGTGGGATTACACTGGATAATTAAAGCTTTAGACATTAAAAACAAAGGAAGCGTGCCCAAAGCGCTCGCATAAGATATTTTGTTTAGAACTGCATTTATAGCGCCATGGAAACGTGACGTCACCATTTAAGGACTTTATTGGTTCGAGAGCAACATGATGACTGCATCGAATCGGGTGACTCAATACAAATATGGCGGCCAAGTATTTCATGATACACGCCCGTTTCAATTGCTGTTTTCACTATGATAACGGCCGTAGATGACTATGATATTGCAGGAAAGATAATATTCTATTACCATTCAAAGTAAAGAGTTTTTGAGGACGACCATTTGCTTTTTTGTAATGGTTTTGAAAGTGATTCAATTGTCGTAGGAGTGAACGGCAGAAAACAAATTATGTCAGGTATTGTCTAGTACGAATGCATTTTTTGCATTTTAGCAGTTTTGATTGCTTTTGAACAAACTAAATCACATATTATGACAAAGATCTGATATTTTAGTTCTCAAAAAATTTTTGTAAGATTTTTTGTTGTACCCATTTGAGATTATTTAGCTGTTTTTTTTTTTCAATATAAAGACTTAGTGAACTTAGAAGTATCACATAAATTCAAGATGTACTTAGCTATATATTTTCTAAATGAACAACAAAATATTTATTTCTTTTATATATACGCCTTGTTATCTAAGTCTTTACTCATGAATCTTGTTGTTTGCTGTAACTCTGCTTCAATACTGAATATTGCCCCTATACTAATTCTGAACAAAGAAAAACACATTTTTACATATGCTTCAACCATTTTGGTCAACAAAAAGCCTATTTTTAGTTGAAAATACTTCAAAGTGTAAACCTGCAACTCCAGTTAACATATTTCTCACATTTACAAGAAAATATGCCTTAGGGAACCTTAAGAAATGCACTGTTTTCATTAAAAATGGAATTTGTTCTTTGCTTTATGATGAAGTAATGGCACTTTTGAGCAATTTGATTGGCAATAATTTACAATGTGATGATATTTGCTATGAACATGCACACTTCATATTTTAAATCAGTAAATATTGGTATTATTTGTAATTGTGAATATCACATTTAGGCAAAACATGTGTCTGGTTATGTGAACAGACAGGATTCGGAAAGTGAAGTGGGAGATAGTACTGCAATGATCTTTGTCGGTAAAACTGAATTTCAAGATGTACTGTTCTGTTTACAACGTAGGTACTTTAATGCTAACAAAACTCTTTTGTGTACAAAATTTCAGCAACAAAATACACCCTTTCAATTGATGAGTTTGAAACATGGATTGATTTAATCTCAGCAAAAACAGGCAGAAAATTGTTAAAGCACAAATGGATAATTGCCCC